GGTGAAAATGCTGTTCATTCTGTGGTGAAATCCCAGCGACGTTGTCACCCTGTGGACAAGATAGTCTTTGATGGACATTTAGTTTTAAATGGACCTTTAAAGTGGTTCTAACGGCTGAAGGTTTTTTTTACCTTACTGAATTCAACACATTAAGGTCCAAAACCTTCTGTAAATCTCCTCTCTTTTCCAGCCGCCCCCCCCTATACTTTCGGGATCCAGTGGTTCCCATTTGGTAAATAAAAAAAAAAAAAGGGCAGGTTGTCAATTAACCTGTCCACACATGTACTGAAAGTCAGTGAATAAATAAAGTAAATACAAGTCAAATAAATGAGCAACATATACTTACATTCCCAGGGGCATCATCCCATAATAGTCAAAAGCAAAAATGAAGCAAGCAAACAGGGCTTTATATGTGCCATTGGGGTGAATGTATGAAAAAAAACAATTGTAGAATACAATTAAAATCCAGCAGTTTTTATATTACAAAAAAGATCGTATATAAAATTACCAATAGGCGTATACAAAAATAGTTTAAAACCATCAAATAGGCGTAATCTAGAGTAAATGGTCTATGCATTTCATGGGGTTTCCTGCTTCATCAGGACCATCATCGCCTTTAAAGATATTCAGTCATAGTTGGTAATGAAATAGTACAGGACTGCGGTATGGACACAGTTCCTGATCTAGGGGGCAAAGTGAAGATCGTCCACTTGCCGGTGGGGGGACCTTACAAAATGCCTAATAACCAAAATCCAGAGCTATATGCAGCCAAACAATAGCTGGAGGCAAATCGCAAGGGCTGAAATTTAAATGCAAGGTCAGCCTCTCCAAAGGGATATAGCACATGGCCAGTTCTCTCAGGTGATGGACAGGTTCCCCCCTTCACTTCATTGCTATTTTTCCTCCCCACCCGATTATCACTACCTCTTACCGTGCTAGAGGGTCATATAGAGGTTGACAGAAGAAACCACAGCCCTCCGGCAGGCGACATGCTATCCAACACACTTTCAATTGTCAGCTATCAATGGTCTTTGTATCTCTCCATTCCCCCCAAATCGTTGAATTTTATGTCCTCAAGGTGACAGGGATACTTTAAATATGTTCCAGCAATGATCCTATATAGTATGAACTCTAGTACCAGTACCTGCCTTCTTCTCTGCCTAGGGCTCATTCCTGTTAAAGTAGAATTCCACCCAAACTCTAACTTGCTCTAAACCTACTCCCAGCTTCATTCTAAGCCTATTCTATCTAAACCTGTAAAGAAAAGGTCCCTATACTTACCTATTCTGAAGCTGCTCTGATCCAGTCCCATGCTGAGCTGTCAAAGGCATCTTCTGTGTAGAGGCAGCCAACAACGGATACTCCATAGTAAGTCTATCCTTGACATCATCTCCCAGGTATTTCCCAGTTGTTGGCAGCTTCCTCTCCCCTATACAGAAGCTGCCGCTGGAGACCGGACTGGAACAGCTTCAGAATAGGTAAGTCTAGCAATCTTTTCTTCACTGGGTTAGATCGATTAGGCATAGAATGTAGCTGGGAGTAGGTTTAGCATTAGGTGGGGTTTTGGGTGGAATTCCACTTTAAAGACATAACAGCAATCCTGTTAAGAAGTCTGTATTTTTATCTGTTTTCAAACTGTGGTTATTAGTGACGTTTCTTTCAACAAATCCACGTGGGTAAGATTTTGTAAGCGGTTTCCCCCTTAATTTCCCTGATGTGTTCCAGAAAACCTGTTTGGAATTTCATGTTGTTGAAAATTTCCAGAGCAAAATGGAAAAAAAAAAAATACGTCTAGCTGGTGGTTCAAGAGCGTTGTTTGTTCAGAATTTTGACGGCGACGAGAGAGCCATTCCTAACCTCCTGTTTTTTGTTTACTGCAGATATTCTGTGGCCCACCTGAAGACAGCGCAGCCCCCCCTGTACCTCCTCCTAGGATCACCCCAGAACCCACAAGCCTATCACTATCTCCAAACGTCCGGTCAGAGGGAGAAACGGTCTTTATCTTGGCCAGAGTGAAGAAGGTAACATGTTTAGTAGACTTCTCTGTGTACTTTTCCTGTAGAAGGAATGTGTTTTTCAAAGATGAGCGTGGTTTCAAGTCAAACTGCAAAACTTAAATTATAAAAGCCTGTCATGCTGGGACACAGTCATGGCTTCTTGTTGCATAGCTTGCTCATGGTCCATGGTTCTAATTCTGTGATCCATTAGAAAGGTAGATCGAGGTAGAGTGCACAACCTTCATCAGGTTAAAGCGTATCCAAACCCAAGGGCAAAAATGGAATATGCCGCAGCTGAACACTCCTTTGGTGTGATGGATACATTTTGTTTTAATTTTTTTTGGCTAAGAACATATTTTTAGCAAGTACATAGAATACCTAAAAAGACCGGCTGCACTCTAGTATCGTCAGCACGCATAAAACTTTCAATAGATTGAAGCAGCTCTAGTGATAATAACAAAAACATAAAAAAAAAAACCAAATAAGTAAACGGTGTTCAATGTGCCAAACGTGAAGTCTCTCCTAAATCAGAGTCCATATATGTTCAGGTAAAATGATTTTCCACCATCCAGCAGATCCTTGTAGTGTAATGAAAACACTGAGTGCTAACACCTTAATCAAATGCACACTCACCAAAACTATAGGCTGTAAAAAAGGTAGAGATTTAGGTGTTTTCATTTTAGGGTCCTGTTAATACTTCAACATACAGGTGACATTTTAGACAGTTTTGTGCCTCCACCCTTTTGGTAACAGTTTTAACAAGGTATGAATGTACACTTGCGTACAAAATCAGCTCCATAAAGACATGGTTTGGTGTGGAGGAACTGGATTGACCTGGACAGGGCATGGACCTCAACCCTACTGAACACCTTTTGGGTTTATTTGGAATGTTCATGATGAGGCAGGTCTTCTCCAACATCAGTACCTGACCTCAAAGTGGCCCTGCAGACACACTTTGGATTGGGCTGTCCAACAAGTTGATATAGGTGCGATTGTGTTACTATTAATGTTACAGCGTGCATTTTAAACATTCTAAACATCTGGGCACTTGTAAACTTATGGAAACAGTTTGGCGAAGGTCCTTTTCTGTTCCAGCATGACTGCGCCCCTGTTCATTAGTCCAACTCCATAAAGACGTGGTTTGACCAGTTTGGTGTGAGGGAACATGAGTGGCCTCAACAATATTATTGAACACCTTTTAGGATGCATTAAAACACTGATTGTGAAGTCTTTTCATCCAACTTCAGTACCTGACTTCACAAATGGGAACAGATTCCCACAGATGCCATATAAAATCTCTTGGAAAGCCTTCCCAGAAGAGTGGAGGTGAAGGCCTTTTTCCGTTGCAGCATGACTGTGGTCCTGTGCACAAAGCCAACTCCATAAAGACATTGTTTGACCAGTTTGTGCAGGCCAGTTGAGTTCTTCTACAACCAAAGTCCTGAGGATATTTAGTCCTGATCTCCAGCCAGTTCTGAAAAATTCAAGTCTTGACCGTCACCCTAATGAACATCCCAGGCATGAATTGGAATGCCAACTGTGAGCCGGGTCTACTCCTCCAACATTGGTACCTGAGCTCACAATAGAGCCCATATTCCCAAGCACACCCATCAAAATCTTGAGGAGAGCTTGCCCAGAAGAGCAGAGGGTAGTATAATCATACATGAGGACCAACTCCATATTAATGGCCATAGTTTTGAAATGGGATGTCCAACAAACTCCATATAGGTGTGATGGTCAGGTGTCCCCAAACCTTTAGCCATACAGTGTATTTCAAAGAGATACTGTTGTTTGGATACATGTATCTTAACCACAGTGTCTTTTTTTAGATATTATAAAAAAAAGCCCACATAAGTTTGCTCCTGACAGGAAATGGTGAGTGATATGTTGCTGGTGCACACCCCGTGATCACTACGTGCATGAGGTCTGCTTAAGGACACCCAGCCTGTGTAAATAAAACTAATTACCAATCTCTGCCTTTTATAGCTGGCGCCTCTGTTGTGGAATGTGTGTGAAATTCACAGTGTCTGCCAGAACAGAGGGTGAGGGCTTGATATCATGTTTAGGTAGTGAGGCTTTCCTGTGGTGTACAGAGATGGAATCTGAGTAACGGGGTTCTGGTGATGGATGAGCGTATCATGGAAAGCGGAGTGTGAACAAGTGGAAAGAAGCTTCAGGGTGGCAATACTTGTGAGGTTGTAACTGGTGTAACATATGGAATCACTTCATTAGATTAATGTGACTGTCGGCAAATTGTTTATTAGTAGACATGATGGGCACAACACTTGGATCGGCAATGAAATTCATACACTTGAAGATACATTATTTTCATGTATCTTTGGTCTGGGCACTTAACATGCATGGTTCTCTTCTTTCCTCCAGTATTGGATGGTCCTTGCTCCTGCAAAACCAAACCTCACATAAAAACATATAAGCAAGTGCCGTTCTGTTCCATATTGTGCTTTGATATCCAAGCTGACTCCAAGGGGGCAAGTCCATGACAACCTGGGCTTACAGGCAGTGGGTTGAATGATGCTGGACGTCATTCATTCCAGAAGAGGGCTGGTGATGGAGGGTGCAGACTGAAGCCCTGCAGGGGAGTATTATTGTGGACACCC